TAGTGGGAGTGCTGAAAGGGACCTTCGGATAGACCCCGTCTTTACAGAGGAAGGGCTGTGGGGTCGGGGGCAGAGAGAAACCATAACAGTAAGTTTAATAACCATAATAACACCTACATTTATTAAGTGCCTACTGCACGCCAGGCGCAGCATCAAGTACTTGGTATACATTAGGTCAGGAGAGCCTCACACCAACCCCGAGAAATGGGTCCTACTAGTATTCCTGTCTTACAGAGGGGGAAACTGAGGCTCAGAGAGGTGCCCAAAGACACAAAGGCCAGCTCAGAGTGGGAGACTGAGGTGCTTAGAGAAGGCTTCTGGAAGGAGCGGGCCACAGAGGGCCCTGCATTGGAAGGGGAGGAGGGGAAAGGATTCAAGGAAGTGGGTGTGGGGTCTGAGAAAGCTGTCGATGACAAGACATGCCTGTGGTGGGGGCTGCCAGGGAAGAGGATGCCCCAAGGAAGTAGGGGTGGGCCTTCCACACTCCTGCCCTTGGAGTCTTGGCCTCAGCCTGTACTCGCAATGGATGTCCCTCCGTGTCAACCAGCGCATGTCCACATCCAGTTGAGCCAGCCACTGTACAAAGAAGTCCCCTTCAGCTGAGCCCTGTGCCCTTCCCTGCGCTGGTTGCCCTGTGCAGGAGTGGAGGGCCAGGGCTGGGTGCACCTTGATGAGGGACCTTGAGTAAATCCCTTCCCTTTTAGGTGCCTCAGCCTAACCCTCTGTATCATGCCTAGGTGGGACCCTGGCATCCTGAGTCTCTTCTGGCTCTTGGGGAGGGACTTAAGAGGGGGCAGGAAGGTCCTCATCCTGGCCGCAGCTCCAGGCCCACTCCTAGAGGGACTGTCCTGCCAGCCCCTCAGGTGCCTCTCATTGCCGTGCCCCCCCACACCCACACCCCGCTGCACCAGTGTGGGGCTCTGACCTATGGATTTTTTGCCACTTCCTTATCCACTTCACTCTGGCCGGAATCTCTAGGACTTCGTTATCCCAGTGGCCTTGGTGACCCTAGCATGGTGAGTGTGGGGCTTCAGCAGTGGCTCCTGGAGGCTACAGGGCCCTGAGTTTCTGGGCTTCAGCCCTCTAGGGACTCAGGGTCCTTCAAGGAGCCCCCACCTGAGGCCTCATCCCACTCTCCCCACTGTCTAGGCAGGGCCACAGAGCCCTGAGCTTAGAGACCAACCCCTCATTGCATAGCTGGGAAACTTTCACCCAAGGAGGGGGAGCGACCCCCGAAGGTCACACAGCAAGTTGATAAGAGCGCTCAGAATCAAATTTGTGGCATAAAGTGGGACATGGGGTCCGCCTGCTCCACAGGGATCTCCAGCTGGATGCCGGCTCCAGCCCACTCCCCCAACCCTGCTCCATGCCCAGTGCCGCTTGCCCAGCCCCCACCCGCCTCCCCGGCTCCTGGTCTCCGTTTTTCTTGCTAATTACAGGTCTTAGCAATGACTCCACTGTCCCAGCCATTTTCGACCTGTCATTAATTTCAAGTGCCTTCAGAAATCATCATCATTGTAAAACCCCTCGAGCTGCTGGGATGCAAGTGGGCAGGACCAGCACAGAGCAGGCATGCAGGCAAGCCTGTGTGTGCCACGCATTCCTCCCTGTGCCTTGGGGACCACGCCTGCCTCCTGCATCCTCAGCTGCCAGAGTGGGGGAGAGCAGAGCTGGGGCTCCGGCATCAGACGCACAGAGCTTCAAAGCCCAGCTCTCTCTCTTATAAACAGTGAACTTGGCAGGATCCCAGCCCTCCCAGAGCCTCAGTTTTTCATCTGTGCAGTGGGGATAGCAATACCAGTCTTGAAGTGAGATGAAGGATGTGAAATATAGCTCAAGCGTGGCTTACAGCAGGAACTGAGTAAATGTTAGAGGGCCCTGTCCCCTCCTCCAGAGTGCCAGGGCAAACCACCCCAGCTCCCGTGCTTTGCTGGGAACACTCAGGTCGCAGCAGGCTGGCTCCTTCTCCTTCTAGCCATCAGCTTCTGCTTATTGGGACTTGCTGAGTTTTCACCCTGAAGTCAGGATCTGCTGTGTGCCCGCTCCTGAGACACGCAGGCTCAGGCCTGCTCTGGGGAGCTCCTAGTCTGAGGACAGAGAAGGAGGAGACTGGGGCCGTGCCTATAAGGCCATTTCAGTCTGGGGAGGGGAGACAGGAATGGAAGAGAATGGTCTTAGCTTGGTCTTGAAGCACAGGTGGAAACCAGGACAAGGGCATGCTGAGCAGGTGCACCAGCAAGGACAAAGGCTTGGAGGGATGGGTGAACATTTTTCAGCCGTAGCTCCAGGGTATGGTCCCCTGGTTGTGCCAGTGAAGTTGGACTGGGCCACCCTGATGTCTCCCATTCTCATGGCCCTGAGATCCCTGAGAGGTTGGGGACCACCTCCCCAGACAGGAGTGGAGAGACAACGTGGTCTGCAGCTGGTGCAGAGGCTTCTGAAAGGGGAGGACCCAGTGACAGGACCCTCCTTTATGGGGTCTCCAGTGACAAGCCCAGGGGCCTGCACTCTCACCAGGCCCAGGCTGGACTCTCAAAAAGGCCTTTTCTCCAAGTTCTTCCCCCAAAGCCTCCCCCTCCTCATTACTTCCACTGGTGCAATAAAACAGAGAGTGCTGGCTGGGTCATTTCTTTTGGAGAAACGGAAAGGGAAATGACTTGGATACTGTTTAGCATAGAGAACTAAGGCTGCAGGGCAATTCCTCCCAGACACAGCTCTGTGGTCATCCCCGCTGCCTCCAAGGCGCAGAGGGATAATGGTGGGCCCCAGGAGAGCCCATCCCAGCTTGCCAACTTCCTCAGCCAGCATCTGGGCGTTGGGGGTGGGGGCAATGGGCTCTCCCCCATTTCTCCGCCGAGATCACTGAGGCGGGGAGCAGGTGAGTCGGGGGCGGAGATACGCGGTGGCCGCTCAGTGCCTGCGTCAGTCTCCGCACCAGGAATAGCCCCCGCCCCCGCCGCCGCCCCCCAGCGGGTCTGCGCGCCCGCCGGTGCCTGGCGGAGCCTCTACGCAGGAGCTAGAGAGCGTCTATTCCTGTCGGGCTGGTGGGAGGAGGCGGCGCGGGAGGGCGGGAGCTCACGGCTAACTCACAAACAGCCGGGGTGGGGGAGCTGGGGAACCTGGAAGGGGGTCCAGGCAGCACAGAGTTGAGGGGCCAGGGAGCCGCCTTCGCTGGGCTCTTGAAGGGAGGGGGACTCCTGGGCCGCCGCCTCTGTTCCCCTCCCACCTGTAAGTCCCTCTGCCAAGCCCGCCCTCTACTGGTTTACTCAGCTCTGGAAGGCTATTCAAATTCCCTTTCCAAGCTTTGCTAGCTGTGTGACCGTGGGCAAGCCCTGTAACCTGTCTGAGCCTGAGCTTTCTTCTCTGTCACAAGGGGATCAACAGAGCCTCCTCTCAGTTGTTGGAGGATGAATGTAGAATGCACAGCACAGCATCCATACCTGGTAGGAGGGGCTCCAGCTAGGCCTAGGATGAGGATGGACAAAGAGAAGAGAGGAGACAGTTCTCCACGCAGAACTGTCCAGGGTGGTGGTGTGGCAGTGAGACTGAGAAGTACCAAGACTGTTTCGCTGGAACAAAAGGTCCGTGCAACTCTTTGGGCTGTGTGTGTGAGGCTAGACAGTGGAGAAGCAAGATGCTGCTGGGGGAGGGAGAAGACTGGTGGTGACCCCATCATGCCAGCCAAGCGTCTGCAATGAATGTCAGGCAGGCTTCGCGGGGCTGGGGCTAGGGCAGGATCCCGGGGTCTGTCTCAGAGACTGAGAAGCTTTGGGCCAGTCTCCTGCCCCCCAGCCTCAGCTTCCTTCTCTGCCTGCGGAACCCCTACCCCGTGGGCTCAAGGTGTCAGGAGCACCGATATGCTAATGGGATGCACTCCCAACAGTGGAGAAGGGGTGCGTGTGTGTGGTAGTGTCAGCATTGGTGGTCATTCTAATCAAATTAGCTTAGTGTTAAAGGGCATCTGGCTTCAAGGAGATGGAAGGAAGTGAGGTCCCCAAGGGTCGTAGCAGTCTTTGCCAAGATAGCTCCGTCAGCCGATTCCCGTATCTGCTGCTCAAGGAGAATCTGAATCTCTGAGCAGAGGTCCCATTCCCTGTGCCCTTCTGAGTATGTGGTCCCAGCCCAGGATCCCCTGGACCGTTTCGGAGCGGGTTGATGGACAGCCAAGGCCGGATTGAGGCTCTGCGCTGCTCTCTGCTGGTCACTGGGTGCAGTGCCCACGGCCAGAGCGGCCTGCTGCCCTCTGCTGGACAGGAAGGCAGGCTGGGCGGGGACCCGAGCTGCAAAGGGGGGCGCAAGACCCGGCTCGAGGTAGAGCCGCGGAGCTGGTGCGCCTGCCTTGCGGTCCCTCCGAGTTTCCCTCTCTACCTGCCTCGCCCCAAGGCCGCCCCGATGTGGGCCCTCCAGGGATTCGCGGACATTTCCGAGAAAAGGGGACAAGGCGCAGGATGGAGGTTGCTGGCCTGACCCTACCCAAGCCGTCCTCCAAACAACCCTGGCTGGGTGGGGAGCCTCGCCTGTTCACGTGCGTGTGACCGTCCACACAGTAGGGTGCAGTGACCCCAGTTAACACGCGTGACACACGCGCTCACATGTACACGCATGTGGCCACACGCGAGTGTGCGCGCACACTCCCAGGGAGGACTGCAGGCCGGACTCCCCGGGCCCGTGCTGCCGGCGACTCGCCGGAGCCCGGGACTTGGATGGGCGCGGCCGCGTACAGGACTGGAGCACGGGGACTCTGGCTCAGGCGCGAGGCTGGCGCGCCCCTCGCCTGCGCCCCGCTTGCCAGTTTCGCTGCCCCATCCGTACGGGGCCGTGGTTGGGGTGCTCCTCGCTCTCCTCCCCCTTCGAGCCCACACCTCACACACACCCCCTCCCTTGGTTTTGCGGCCGCTCCTTTTCCTCCCCCGCCCGGCTCCGCCGCTCCTCGCTCCTTCCCTCCCTCTGCCCCTCCCTCTCTGGCTCTCTCCTCGCTCCTCGCGCTCCCTCCCCGCGCCGCGGCAGAGCGCGGAGCCCGGGCGGGAGCCGGCGCGGGAGCCGGTGCGGGCAGCCGGCAACAACGCAGGCGACGGGTCGTGGTCCTGGCCCCGGAGCGTGCGGTGTCCCCACCCGCGCCGCTCCGGCCCCTCTCCCGACGCGGGGCTCCGAGCAGCATGCGCGGCCGCTGCCCACCGGTCTCAGCCCTGGCTCCGGCCCCGCTGCGGAGCGCGCCCGGCCTCGACCCCGGCCCTAGCGGCAGAGGCAGAGGCGGCGGCAGTGGCTCCAGGCCGGCCCGGGGCGCAGCACCAGGCTCGTGGAGTCAGCATCGCGCGTCCTGAGCGCACCCGCCCCTCTGCCCGCCGGGGCCGCGGCCTCCCGCCTACCCAACCCCGGCCTGTTGCCCCAGCTCCGGCTCCGGCTCCGGCTTGGCTCCCGCCCGCGTGGAGTAGACAGACAGACAGACAGACAGCTGGCTAGCCCCGCGAGGGTGCGTGGACTGCCGGGCGGAGGTGTCGGACGAGGAGGAGGAGACGGAGGAGGGGGCTGGGCAGGGGCTGGGGCTCGGCGGAGGAGACATGCGATTGGTGACCGAGCCAAGCGGACGGACCGCGCGCCCAAGATGCAGGTGAGCCCGGCGGCCGCGGCCCAGCCGGGAGTGGGCAGCCCCGCCGCAAGCGCCCCTGGGGGCCGCTGTCGGCCCGGGCTGCGTCCTCCTGGGGCTGCGGGGCACCTCAGCACTACTCAGACCCCTCTTTGGGCTCACAGATGTGAAGATTCTTCCTTTCCCCTTCCTCCCACCCCAACAAATTCCAGGTTGGCTAGCTGGAACCCCAGAGCTGTGGAGGGGCCCCCACCGGCGTCCTAGTCCTACTGGTCCTCCCTTCTCCCTACCATTCCAACACTGGTCACCCTGGAGGGTAAGCCCCCTGCTCAGCGGTGGGTGACTTCCTCTCTCCAACGACTCCCCCGGGTACCCCCAGGCAGCCCTAGCCAGCACCAGGCACCCCTAAGCTGGTGGATGCAGGTCAGGGACCAGGTTTCTCCACAGGCTCCAGCCTGGGCAACAGCTGCCGCCCCTCACAAGGAAAAGCCCCCTTCCAACTCCTGCCTGGGGGATGGGGAGGAAAGGGGACGTGGGGGGTAGGGATAGCAGAGGAGAGGGAGTTGGGTTGAGGAGGACCCAGGAACCCTTCAGGGGCCTCCCCTTTGTCTGTCTTCAGCCCAGGCTTCTCACCTCCTCCTGCCCCACTTTTCATTCTGAGGCAGAGCGGCTGGGAGGTGGGAACCAGCTGAAAAGAGAAAGGTGAGGAGGGAGCCTCCTGCTCTGCCCCCCACCCCTGTGAGGAGGGCTGTGGGCTTCCTGCTCCCCAAGGCACCCCCAGGAGATATGTTCCTCCAGGTGGATCCCACTGTGAGGAGGGGTGGGGCCAGGCCCAGTGGGCAGTCCTCTCCCGGTTTTTGCTCTGGGTCCCAGCCCAGCCCCATCCAGCCCTGGTTCTTCAGGCATCGGCATCTCTTTGTTCTCAGAGGTCCTGGGGTCTGGGTGGGGGAGAAGGGGCATCTGGGAGGATGGGAACAGCTCTGCCCTGGTGGGGTGGGAGTGCAGGAGGCCCTGAGGTAGGGGGCAGTACCATCTGGGCAGTCCTCTTCTGCGTGGCTTGGGTAGCTGGAGGGTGTGCAGCCCAGCCTGGCCCGCAGCTCCAGGCTCAGCCCTGCTGGTCATCATGCCAGTGGCTCCAGCACCGGTGCATCCCATGCCCAGGGAGCAGTGAAACGGGGCACCCAGGCAGCAGAGAGCCTGGGGCTTCCCCACACTCAGCAAGGAGTGCCAGTGAGGGCAGAGAGGCTTGGCTGCTTTGTCCTTGTGTGGGCCTGGAGGGGCTCTGAGTCCTCACTCCTCTGGGAAGGTGCCAGCACCTGGTCTGCTGGGACAGCTTGCCTGGCCTTCCTGCTTTCTTCCCATGCCCTGAGGCAGGCAAGAGGATAAGGGGGCAGAGGGGAGAGGCCAAGAACTCCTCGGAACCCAAATAGGGGCTCCTGGAGCACCCGGCTGCCCCGCCTGGAGGGGGGCTCACAAAGGCGGGGACAGGCCCCCCATGGTGTTCTTGTTGTCTCTACCCCTCCCCCACCCCCTGTCAATTTGAGCATGAGATGGCCCTTGGCTAGGGCTTGGTCACGACTAAAGAGCTAGAGTGGGTCCCTAATCCAAGGGGCCGAGTTTCGGGAATGGGTGTGCGCTGAGAGCCAAGTGCTCAAGCTTGTGGGCTGAGGGCTCCTGTGTGACTGGAGGGAGGCAGAGAGACCACTCTACTCCTTACAACAGTCCTCTTTGATCCTGCGGGTCAGCTCCTCCATCCCCTGCCTCTGAACACCCGTTTTTCCTGTACTAGATATTGCTTTCTAAAACCCAGAATTCCAGAGGGACACCGGGGAAAAAAAATAAAAAACACCTCTTATGAGGCATAAAGCCAGACAGGATCCCCAGTCCAGTGACGGCTCATCTGGTGCTGTTCTCCAAGTGGCGGGAGGAGCGCAGCTGGGGCCAGGGGGGTCGTTCCTGTTGAGAAGTGAGTGAGGCAGTACAGTGGTTTGCACAGGGTCCCGTGGAGGCGTGAGGCAGTGTGTCGGGGGGTGGGTTCAGGAAGTGGGTCCTATGGGGATAGGGAGGGCCAGGGAGGGGAGGCGGTAGGTGGTGGTAGTTTCAGAGTCAGGGCCTTGGTTTGCTGGCTGGGGTCTCTTGGTCTAGCTGTCCTGTGTATAGCACTCTGTGGAAGGATAGTGACCTTCTAGCCCCAGGCCCCCTCCCCCTGTGGTTACCCATTGACAACTCTCTGTTGTGTTCCCACCAGTCACCTGGCTTGGTCCAGCATCCCTACCCAGAAAGCCCTCTTCTCTCCTTCTCCTGGCCTCTCCTCCAAGAAGCCCCCCTGACTGCTCCAAGTCACCAATCCTCCTGCTCCAGGCACCCACAGTGTAGAACCACACTGGCTTGCCCCTAATATTGTAGCAGCCCATTCATTCATGTGTTTATTCTATATATCCTGTCTGGGCTGCCTGCTTGGCTCTGGGCTAGGCCCTCCCATGGCCCACATGGATTGCCTTGAACACCCTGGGCAATTCTGAACCATCCCCTGGGCTCCCCTCCCTGGCCCCTGGGATAGAGAAGACACTGGGAGGCACAGGGAGCAGCTGATGGCTGGTGGCAAGGACTACCTGGAGGAGACACAGTGTCCTCAGCCTGTATGGATGGACAGAGCCAGGTGACATCAAGGATGCCCCAGGCAGGGGTTGCAGAGAGCCAAGGCAGGTACACACACAGGCACTCAGAAGAGGATGGGATTTGTTCCTGGGGGGAGGTGGTCAGGGGTCCTCCAGGAAGAGAGAGAGACTGGGTGGTCCTGAGGTAGTAGCAGACTTTGCAGAGACAGAAAGCAGGGGATTCCAGAATCAGGGAAGGTCCTTTGTATAAAGAGTGTGAGAAGCAAGTTCATTTCCAAATGCATCTGAGGCATTCTTGATGCTGACTTTTGTGTATGTGTTGAATGAATGAATGAATATCCTCGGGTGCTGTGGGCCCCGTAGAGCTGTGCTGATAACAGTGTCCTCCTCTGGTGTGTTCAGTTCCTTCGACGTCATTTTATAGTGAAGTTGCTGAGTGTGGATCCTGGAGCCAGATGCCTGGGTTCAAATCTCAGCTCTACCACTGCCTAACTGTGACTTTGGGCAAGTTACTCAATCTCTCTGGGCCTCAGTCTCCTTATCCATAAAGTGAGGATAGCCTCTGGGTCGTTATGAGAATTAAGTGTGATGACATGTGCAGAGCATTTAGACCACTGCCTGGGACACAGGAAGCTCTCAAGAGATGCCTGCTCCTCGTAGTTGATATCAGTGATGTGCGCTCAGTCTTAGCCTTGTGTGTGGTACAGAGATTTGATTTTATAGCTGAGAAAACTCACACAGAGAGGTGGAAAGACTTACCCGAAGTTCCCAGCTTACAAGCATGGGGCTTGGTCTAGAAAGCCTTCCTCCTCAACTCTGGGCTGGGGCTCTTGCTCCCTGGTCCGGGCGTGGCCTGTTAATTAATTAATAAAAGTATTTAGTATTAATAATAATAATATAATGAACACCGTGACCCTACTCCCCATCCTGAACGCTAGCCCTTTAATAATGATGTACATCTTCCCACGTGCTTCTCCTCGCCCCATCCCTTGGCCTCTTTCTCTGAGGCAACCACTACCCTAAATTATCTATTTAGCATTCCCTTGCCTTTTTAAAATCATACACTTCAATATATAGAAACTGTTCAGTTATAGTTTTTTTTTGAACTTTGTAAAAAGAACATGAAATTGTACGCAGTCCTCTGGAATTTGCTTTTTTTCCCCCAACATCATATTCATAAGCTTCATCTATATTGTTGCAAATAATAGTAGATGTAGTTCATTCATTTCCACTGATGCATAATGTTCCGTCGTTTGAAGGTAACACAGGGTATTGCTCGTTCTTCTGTGATGAGCGTGTGGGTTGTTTCCCTTTTTGCTCCTACAAACAGGGGCACCACGAACCTTCTTGTCCCGTCTCCTGAGGCAGCGTGCAGAGCCCTCTGGGGCACACAGCTAGGAGTGGAATTGCCGGGCCGTAGGGCATGTTCATATTCAGCTTTACTAGGAGATGTGCCCAAGTGTTTTCTAGATTGGTTGGACCAGGTTATGCTTCCCCAGCAGGAGGTGAGTGTCCCCATTGCTCCCCTCCCTCACCAACACTCAGTATGGTAGGACATCTCAATTCATACTGATTTAATGAGTGTAAGTGGTGTTTCGTTATGGCCTTGATTTGCGTGTCTGGAATACAGGGTTGCTGGTGTATGAAATGGGGGTGAGATGGGCAGCAGCCTGCGTGTAAGCGATCGTCCCCTCGGCACCTCAGTTTCCCCAGTTGTGGGGATGCTGTCTGTACAAGCCTTGAGCTCAGGGATGGGCAGGAGCAGCCACGGAGGTCTCCTGAACCAAGTGGGAATGAAGGGGGAGCGAGGAGAGCTGAAGCCCCTGCACTCTGTGTTCACCCCCAGGATGGGCAGGGGCAGTGCTAGCTTAGGAAGTGGAGGGAGCCTGTGCGTCATTATCTTAATAACACACAGCCCCCTGAACACCCTATCCCAAACCCTGGTACCTGGCGTGGGGCTTGGCACTGGTACATGCTTATTAAGAGTTTGGTGACTTGAAGAATGAACACTGGATGGAACAAACGTATGTTTGTTCTTCCTTCATTCTTGCCTCTTTGGGGAGTCCTCCCTGATTGCTCTTGCCCATTGAGTGAGTGAGGGGTGGCTGAGCGAGGTGGCTCCTGGGCACTGGCGAGGCCCCTGATGAGGCCCTCAAGCCCGCTGCCTACCCACAGGGGCTGAGAAGCCTGGTGCCGGCAAGCTCTTATGGAGCAGCTCCCTCTGCCAGCCTGGTGCACCAACGATTGATTCCACGCCGCTCTCCCCGCCCGGGCCTGGGCCCCTGGAGCTGGTTAGAGACGAGCATCAGGGCTGGTGGAATAATTATGCCTATTTCATGTGACACCCAAATTGATTGCCGCCAGGGTGACATTACCAGGGCATTGTTCCTCGTCTCCAACCTCTTA